CAAACCCTTAAAGGAGACTTATCATGCCCCAAACTACTTGTACTCTTTGAAAAGATTTGCTAGCAAATGTATAGATTGTGAGGAAAAAAAAATTTTTTTCTTCTACATCTCTGTCATATCTTCGGCATAAACTCTATGCCGACAATTTGACTGACAAGGGAGAGCAGAAAAGACCTCCTTCAGGAAGTCCTTCTGCTCTTCTAAGCATAGCAAACATGGCCCATGTGCTTTAGTTTCTATGGAAACTCACTAGCCAACTCTGCTAGCAAAGGTTATGGAGTAAAGGAATGGAGTGACATCAGACACCGACATGTTGGCAACAAACCCAAGGGAAGAATGAAGGACAAACCAGAGGTGGATATTAGACGAAGAGTAACACTAGCACCCACAATGCTCTGTATTAGGAGCTAGAATGGAAGTGAGCTAAGTATATCTCAATATTTTACATTTGAATTCATCATGGATCTTGTAATATTGGATGTATTCAATGTATGTGAGGACGATTTAAGGTGAGTTGTTTTCTTCATAACATGTTCACTTAAATATGGAGTTGGATCACCCTTAAAGCTTTAGCAGCTAACTGTCTTCTGGTAAGGCTTTTCACAAGATTTTGGCAAAAAAAAATAACATTAGCAAGGTCAGGCACTGATGTTGGAAGAGAAGGTCTGGCTTGCATTCGGCATTCCAATTCATCCCAAAGATGTTTCGTTATTTGACATCTTTTATGCCGACGGCTGAATGACAGGAGATAGCAGGAGAACCTTCTCTCTCCTGCTCTCATTGATGAGCCCTAGCGACTGGGCAGCGAGGGCTCTACTTCATTTTGATTTTTCAGCTGTTTAGTATAGGGAGCTCTGAACTGTATATAGATATAACTTCAAGATTCATTCAAATTAAGTTTTTATTTGAAAATAATGGACAGATTTAATCTATACCAAACAGCCTAATGGATGAACCATTTTTTTTTGTCTCGACCAAGTTTGCAAATTATATCATGCTCACAAAAATCTGTTTGGTACAATGCTTACACCAGTGAGAGGTACACAGTTTTCTCCCTATTATTGCAGCATTCAGGTAAGTGTACCTCTTTACTACTACCAGACAAAGCAATGGTTAACACTAAGAGGTATTACACATCTAAGCCTGATTTCTTTTGTTGGGCTATAGAATTTCCACTGAGTTAAGCAATTTCAAACTATAGCCCCAATTTAAGCTTAACCTGCAAAACAGCAGCATGTAGATGTAATAATACTGACATTGTCTTCTTCTCTTTATGTGCTGTTTTTTTGACAGCAACAATATGTCAGATACACTCAACCGAGAATGGGAATGCTAAACTCTGCAGATGGTTTTATGGAAGATGTTTCTGCTCATGATGCATTTCCTTATAGGACAAATTGCATCTACCAAACCACTTTGATTGCACCTGCAATCTAACCAGGGGAGGGCTAGAAAGGGGCAGATGGGCAAATGCCAATAAGCCACTAACATACATTTGTAGGATACAGCCCCAGATCACCATTCTACTTTTGGTTAAAATCAACTGCATGTGCTGTAGGTGCAATAATATGCCTAGCACAGTACTGCTGGAGTGGAGCAGCAAGAAGATTTTCCTTTTTTGCTAGTGTGCAATTCACTTTATAATGTATTAGGTAGGACAACCACTACAATAGGCATAGTCAGGAGAGAGCAGATTGGGACAAGACAGGAGACTGATTTCTTTGCAGGAAGTTACATTATACCGTGCTCAGTCACAACATTAAAACCATCTGCCTAATATTGTGTTGCCAAATGCTGTGATGATTCAAGGCATGCACTCCACAAGCTCTCTGGATGTGTCCTGTTGTATCTGGCACCAAGACATTAGCAGCAGATCCTTTAAGTCCTGCAAGTTGCGAGGTGGGGCCCCCATGGGTCAGATTTGTTGTTCCAGCACATCCTACATCGGATTGAGCTCTAGGAAATTTGGAGGTCAAGGTAACACATGAAACTCTTTGCCATCTTCCTCAAACCATTCCTGAACAATTTTTGCAGTGGCAAGATGCATTACCACTGACTAAGGCCACTGTCATCAGGGAACAAGGGGTGTATGTGGTCTGGAACAATCTCTATGTAGGTGGTATGTGTCAAAGTAACATCCACATGAATGTCAGGCCCCAAGGTTTACTAGAAGAACATTTCCCATAGCATAACACTGCCTAAGCAGGCCTGTCTTCTTCACATAGTGAATCCTGCCATCTCTTTCCCAGGTAAAGCATGCACCCGGCCATCCACCTGATCTAAAAGAAAATGTGATTCATCAGACCAGGCAACTTTCAACAGGGACAGGATTCATCAAGACTTATTAGTGGCTTCGCAGTTTCATGCCCAGCAAACTGTGATGCACCATGTGTTCTGAAACCTTTCCATCATGGCCAGCCTTCAGGTTTTCTGCAATTTGAGCTAAAGTGACTCTTCTGTATAATCAGGCCAGAGAGGCGAGCTATCCCTCCTTGGGCCACTTTTGCTAGGTACTAACCACTGCATACCAGGAACACCCCACAAGACTTGCTGTTTTGGAGATGCTCTGAACCAGTCGTCTAGTCATCACTATTTGGCTCTTGTCAAAGTCACTCAGATCTTTTTGCTTGCCCATTTTTACTGCTTCTAACACATGAAATTCAAGAATTGACTGTTCACTTGCTGTCTGATATATCCCACCCTTTGACATGTGGCATTGCAACAATACACCGGTAATCATTGTTATTCACTTCACCTGTCAGTGGTTTTAATTTTGTGGCTGACCAGTGTAAAGACGTAAGACAGTACTTGGCAAAACTGAACTGGTTACAGATATCAGGGCCATCAGAGTAGATCATAACACACTGACGGCAAACTCCAGAATAAATACATATAACATTGTTTATTCTTCAGTAAAATCTGTGAAATATATTTATTTATCTCTTGACGCAGTGGTAGACAATACCTATATCACATACAGTCTCTTGACACATTAAAACGAAAAATAAACAAACAAGATCAAAACAAACGAGTGTCCCTACATCATAGTGTTTCCTATAACAGAGTTCAGTAGAGATCAGTGGTTTTGACAAAGTATAGCTCTGTTATAGAACACGTGTGAATTAGTTCTCCTACTCATTTGCATGTGCCATGGCGGTGCCTTATCTGTATAGTTTGAAATGTCACTTGCTAAATCTTTTATTTCAATTTTAAAGAAAACAGAGAATCACATGAACACATGGTTAATACATGTCAGGTATTTTTTTTTTTTTTATTAAATGGAAGTGGCAATTTAAAGCTTTATAGCTTCTGTCACAAATATTACGATATCAGACCACAAATAAATCTAATGAAACAATGAAAACACATTATTTTCTGTATTTTTGCAGTTCATTTCATCTTGCTTTTAAACCTTAAAGTTGTAATGCTGTTCATTTTAGCTCTCTCCAACAAAAACAATATGTGTAGATCTCGACAATTGTTCAAGTCCTTCAGAAAGCATTCGCATGGCCTCTGAGCCGCATTAAAGCAGACTTAAACCCACGTCCTCTTTCAGCCTAACCTGCCCTACTTTGAAGAACAAAGATATTAACATGAGTATTTAGCACTCTTTCTAATAAAATCCCGCAGGTTGTCCCACTCCCTCTCTTTGTCTTTCAGTCTTTATCTTCTCGATTTGATTACTCTAATCTCTCAGATTTGACACATAAGGATTGGCTTTTGGGGATTTTTCTGGATAGATTCAAATCCGTTATTACAACTCAACAATCCTTGGGCTTCTGAATGGATTTTTCTAAACACTGTTGTCATGTAGAAATAGATTAATAGAGAGATAAACTGAGTCACATAAAAACTCATTTTGACCTTGGTGTCCTATTGCTCTCGATGTAGTCTTACAGTCTTAAGCATTTTTATCTAAGACAAGGCAATCCAGCAAATCATAAAGTCAGTGCTTAAAGCAAGTGCTGCCATACAATATTTTAAAATTGTCTATGCATGCACATTTTTTTTTTTTTACTAATTCAAATATGGTATACTAATATGGACCAACATGCATAATAAAATCTCACCAGGGGAGCTGTGGCTATGTCTGTATACACAAAGTGATTTAACTCCTAAATGGCAGAAAATTGAGCAGTGAGACTGCAGGGACATAATCTATACACCATAACCACTTAATTAAGGGTTTGGTGCTTAGAGTGTACCTTTAATGGTTATGAATTCACTAAGGAACAGTCCTTGTACCTTACAACCCCTGACTCATAATACTTAAAACAATAATAATTGGGGTGAGGCTCCTCAAATTAGCCAGAGGAATGTAGTTGGGCAAGAGAGACTTAAAGGGATTCTATTGAGCCAGGAATACAGGGTCATTTCCCTGGCACTATAGGTTCCTACAGTGCCCCCCTTTCTTGCCCCCCCACCCTATTTCTTCGGCGCTGAAGGAGGTGAATCCCCTTCAGTCACTTACCTGAATCCAGCGCTGATGTCCCTCGGTGCTGGTTCAGGCTCCGCCCACGCTCCTCCCCCTCCAACATCAGCCGTCGAAAGAGACCTACTGCGCATGCGCAGCAATGGCCGCGCTCCTATTAGGATTTCCCCATAGGAAAGTATTGTTCAATGCTTTCCTATGGGGATTACGATGATGCTGGAAGTCCTCATGCATAGCGTGAGGACGTCCAGCGCCATTCAGACGACCAAAAGTCATCTAAGCACCCGGAAGTCCCTAATGCATAGTGTGAGAACGTCCAGAGTCATTTAGATGCCCAAAAGTCATCTAAGCACCCAAAAGTCCCTCTAGTAGCTGTCTGGCAGACAGTCACTAGAGGTGGACTTACCTCTGAGAGGTAATTATTGAAGTTTCTCAGAAAGTGCAATAATTACCACTTTAGGGTTAAGGGACCACTTCAATCAGCTAATGTGGTCTGGTTGCCTACAGTGTCCCCTTAAAATACCAAAAGTGGTATAAGAAGGGTTAATATGTCCACTGTGTCGAACGACACTGAGTGCGTCAACCCTTGCGTGCGTGATGACGTAGTGTTTGGGTTGCATGTCACATGACACTACGTCATCACGCACGCACGGGTTGACGCACTCAGTGGCGTTTGACACAGTGGAGTGGGCAGGAGGGGTTGGATTAACGGGGTTACATGGTGATTGGGTAAGTTTAACATATTTTGAATATTGTATGATATATATTTCACTTGCTTTATTATGTGTGGCATCTTGATAAAGACCGCTTGACGGTCAAAACGTTGATTCACTTTTTTGCTCATGGTATAATATAATATTTGTTTTAAATCCAGTGAGTACTCTCATTTTTTCTGGGATATATATATATATATATACACACATACACATACATGTATTGCATGTTTTCTCAAACAAAAATGACGAGGAGTAACGCATATACAGTCTGTAGGATACATCCATGGATACCTCATTCCACCACAGGTGAAAGTGTGTATATAGAGATGACGTATATTTGAGAGAGATGCCACAGGTTTACCCTTTAGTGAGGTTTTGACCAATATCCTAAGATATAATGATCAGAGCTTCACACTATCCAAATAATCAGGTATCCTTCTAATACTGGGTACAGCCAACTATAGCCTTAGCTATTCAGTCAGGAATTTAAAGAATGTTTTAGAGCTGATTGGCAAGCTAATAGAGTGCCACATGGTAAATTGTGGGATGAAAAAAACTGAAATGTAGCTTTTGTGCTAGCTCTATTCAATTACAAAGTTGCATGGAAACAAATAATACAAAAATATACAATGTGGAAAGCCAGCAGTGTGGTAGCTGTCCATTGTTTCAATATTACCTTTCTTGCAAGATTCCTCAACATTCTTCAATAACAAAGGTGTCACGAACTTACTTGTACTTGGGAACTCTTTTGAGCCTATTTAAGGCTTGTTTTAGCCTCTATTCATTGCCCTATCGTGGTTTCTGTATAGATCCTCGCTTTGTGCTCCTAGTGATTCCCCAGTGATTTCCTGTGTTTGACTTCGGCTTCACATTGACCTTGTGATTTCTGGTATCCTGACTCGGCTTCGTATTGAACTTGTTATTTCTGGTATCCTGACCTGGCTTTGTTTTGACTTTGTGATTTCTGGCACTCTGACCCAGCTTAGTATTGATCTTGTGATTTCTGATATCCTGACCTGGCTTCGTATTGAATTTGTGATTTCTAGTGTTCTAAGCCTGCTTCGTATTGACCTTGTGATTTCTGGTATCCTGACCCTGCTTTCTATTGACCTTGTGATTTCTGGTATCCTGACCTTGTTTCGTATTGATCTTGGCATTTCTGATATCCTGGCCTGGCTTTGTCTTGACTCTGTGTATTTCTGTAATCCTAACCTTGATTTATGTTGACCTTGTTTCTTGCTGTATTAATACGTTAAGTTCGACGTTTCTAAGGCTCGGTAATATGTCTTTTAGATCCACCTTTTTGTTTGTTTCCACTTTCCTGCGTGTTGGGCTCCTGTGACAGTAGGAGCTTGAAATAATACTATACACTGGCAATGGACATTAATGATGTTTATCAGCTACGTAGACCCTTTACATGTTGCTGCTAGTTTAAACAGTAGTTTACTGCTTTTTAACTGGAGGGAAAAAGCACCGGATATCCAAATCTATTAAACACTCTCTGGAGTCACCAGAAAGCTATTGCAAAGGTCAGCAGTAGCCCCAGTAGTTGTAGAGTGTTAACTCCTATTATGATTTACCTGCATTTAGAGCAGTGGTTCTCAAACCAGTCCTCAAGACCCATCAACAGTCTAGGTTTTGTTAGTATCTCCATTGAAATAAAACAGGAAAATAAATCCTGGACTGTTGGTGGGCCATGAGGGCTGGTTTGAGAATCACTGATTTAGAGGAATAGCTGAGGCCTAATTCTTGGCCATTGTGCTTTAGGCAATGCTTGACTGAGTAAAAGTTTCAAGTATAACATCCAGAGTTGGCTAATTGCTGATATTAAATCCATTTTCATTAGATTTTTCTATTTAACATTTTCTTTGTGTAATGATAAATTTAGTAAATTTCCCAAATCTAGTCAGCTCTCAATTGCGAGCACAGCCAAGCCTCCAGGGTCAGAATTTATTAGTTTATAATGTACTGCCTTAATAAGTGAATTACTCACTGCCACAATTTATTTATTGCTGCAGTGAATTGTATGGCAGAGTAGTTATTATTTCAGATTTAGCAAAGAACTTAAACTGGTGAATAACTGAGCGTGTTTTTTTTTTTTTAATAGAACCAGTAGAAAATGAATCAGGTTGGAGTTACACCTCATGAGAACCTGCGAGTTCCTGTGGGAAGAGCTTCAGATGTTAACCTCTGGTAGACTAATAGAGTGTATGCTAAGCACTATTATGTGGTTCTGCTTGTAATGAAGAATCCAATTTGGAATAAAAATGAATCACATATTATGTGACAATAAATTAGATAGTTAGAGATATCACAGCAATTTAAAAACAAAACAAAAAGAAACAATATTTAAAATGCAAGATGCTTTGAATATCTACAGCTGCGCTGTCAGATGGGTGTCATTCTAATGTTTTCAACTATAATATATCTTTGGTTGGCTCAGTATAATGGGAATTGCAGTCTGACAGCAATATGAGGGCCTAGGCAGTTTTAATACAAACAATAACAGTGTTTGGGTAGATGGTCATGTGTGAAAGCAAATACAGGTGCATGCTTGACCTAAAAAGCTTCATTAGCAACAGTCCTGGAGCAGTGAACCATCTAAAATCATTAATGTAAAATGAGTTTGGGAAAGATGGTTTGGTAGTAATTAGCTTACTTTGGCTGAAGCAAAGTCAAATCCATCAGACAAACTGGACAAATACCTGTTGGAAGGTTATAATTACAGGTTGATGGCGGACTGAGGAGATGCACTGATCTATTCAACTGTCCCACTATTATTTACTTCTATTTCTGCTGCCTGATAGTTGGATAGTTGGTAATAGGGTGACATTGTGACAGGGGTGTAACTAGGCACCACAGGGCCCTGGTGCAAGGATCAAAGATTCGCCCCTCTTTGCTACCCCATACACCTTGGGACTGTGTTTTTCTATGGGGATTGGTGAGTGTGATTCTGTGTGTTGTTGGCAGAATGTGATTGTGTTGGTTGGAGTGTGATTCTGTGTGTTGTTGGCAGAATGTGATTGTGTTTGTTGGAGTGTGATACTGTGTGGTGTTGGTGGAGTGTGATTCAATGTGGTGTTGGCGGAGTGTGATTGTGTTGGTTGGTAACCCCGATTCACCTAACCCTTGTTGTTATTAGACACACTCTTTAGATATTTGTGATCATAAAATATTAACTCATTTCCAAGCATTGGCCTCAAATTAGAGTTTACGGGTTTGATCAGGGCCGCCATCAGGGGGTGACAACCATGACGGTTGCCACGGACCCGGAGGTCCTGGGGGGCCCGAACTGCTTTGGCAGTCCTGGGCCCCACATTCCCTCTCTGCACATACATAAAGTGATGATCGCTATATATATGTGCAGATGCGGGCCCCCCCGGCTCCCTATACTTGCAGAGAGGGCCCAGCAGACTGCAGTAGTATGTTACAGCTCTTCCCTCTCTCTAACAATAGGCAGGGCAAAAGGGTGGTCCACTGATGCGAATCACATGACCAGAACTGCCAAAAGGGGCAAAACTGGCCAAAAGGGGGAGCATGTCTGTCAAAAGAATTGGAAGGCCAGCCTGGCATCACTGTCCCTATGTATCACAATGTCAGTGTCCCCATGTAGCACAGTCCCCTGGTTTCCTAGTGTCTGTGTCACCATTTCTCCCAGTGTTCCTAAGTCTCAGTGTGTCCTGTGTCACTAGGATACTAGGGGACACTGAGAGACATGGGGACACAGTGAGACATGGGGACACTTAGAGACCGGGGACACTGAGACACATGGGGGCACTTGTGGATACAGACATGGGGACACTGGGAGACATGGGGATGCCGAGACATGGGGACACTGAGACATTTGGGGACACTGGGAGAAATGGTGTCACAGACTCTAGGGACACAGAGACTTGGGGACACAGACACTGGGAGACATAGGGACACAGACATTTGTGAAAACTAAGACACTAGGGACACAGCGACATGGGAACACAGACATGGGAACAGTGAGAGACATGAGAGACACTGAGACACATGGGGGCACTTGTGGATGGAGACATGGGGACACTGGGAGACATGGGGACACTGAGAGAAATTGGGTCACAGACACTAGGCACACAGAGACATGGGGACACAGACACTGGGAAACATGGGGACACAGACATTTGGGAAAACTAAGACACTAGGGACACAGAGACATGAGAACACAGACACTGGGAGACTTGGGGAAACTGGGAGACATGGGGACACTGAGATACTAGGGACACTGGCTGGGAGGCATGGGGACACAGACACTTGGGGAAACTGGGAGATATGGGGGCACATGTGGACATAGACATGTGGACACTGAGAGACATGGGTACACTAGGGACACGGAGACATGGGGACACAGACACTGGGAGACATGGGAACACTGAGACACTATGGACACTAGCTGGGGGACATAGGGACACTGGGAGACATGGGGACACAGACATTTGGGGACACTGAGAGACATGGGGATGCTGAGACACTTGGAGACTAGGGACACTGGGAGCCATGGAGATACTGGGTCCCTAGTGTCTTCGTGTCCCAATGTGTCTCCCTATGTCTCACAGCGTCCCCATGTGTCTCATCGTCCACATGTCTCACAGTGTCTCAGTGTCCCCATGGTTCACAGTGTCCCCTAGTGTCTCAGTGTCCCCATGTCTCCCTGCTGCCTTTCCCCCATCCTTCACTTACCTGAGCTGTAGTCTGTCTCTGCAGGCTGGGAGATGCTATCTGGACTCTGTGCTGTGTAGCTGCTCCCCAGCGGATCAGTGAGTAGAGAGAGGCAGGGAGATGCTGTAACTTTCTATCCCTGCCTAACTTCATACACAGTGACCCCTACTGGCCAGTGCTGGTATTGCAGAGTAATCTCCGTTTATACTGAGAAAAATATTTGCATTTGTATTGCCGATATTACTGCAATACCATCATGGCCAGGCAGCC